CTTCCACAGGTCGAGAAGGATGGAGGCCGAGCCCCCGTCCTGCTGCGACTGTACTTGGCTGAGCATGTGCACCCACTCAGCGAGCGCCTGCCGTTGCCACACAGCCCTGTCGCAGCTGCGCCCCGAGCTTGCCCACCAGTAGCTGCGCGGGTTGTCCTCCTCCCACTCCTTGGCGATGGGCCTGCGGGGCCTGCCGTGGATGCGGACCAGGGCGCTCAGCAGGGCGATGGGGCGCAGGCCCCCGTCTGTCCTCGGGGCGAAGGCAATCGTGGGGATAAAGTCGGGCCACGCGCACTGCTCCTCGATCGCGCGATGAGGTCGATGGGCCCCTCGATGCCCTCGTTGTCTAATAACTGCAGCTCCCTTGGGCGCAGGGGGTCGAAGGAGCCTGCTGCCTCCCTGAAGCTGCAGATGACCTTCCTGGTCTCTTCCACCGTGGGTCGCGGAGGTCGCTCACCGAGCCGCTCTGGCCAGCTGGCGTCGCCGAGCGCTGCGTCGGCCCCGTTTCGCTCGGGGGGGCCCAACCCCCAATGCCCCGACCACTCCTTGACGAGAGCAACGACGGTCTCCTGCAGCGAGGGAGGGGGGCCGTCTGGGCTGCCACCGAGCGGCCGAGGGACCCAACCTGGGGGGGGCTTGGTGAGGGCGTGGAGGGCCCCAGTACCTTTGGCGTGGTTCTCGAAGATCCAGTCGTTGCGGCCCCGCTTCCTGCGCTCCATCTCGCTCTCGATCAGAGCGTCCGCCTCGGCAATGGCGTAGGAGCTGATGACCTGCAGCGCGCCGACGTCGAGCGAATCGATCTGCTCCGTTGTTGGCCTCGCGCTGCCGCGGCAGGTTGCCGACCGCGCGCAAGGCTCGAATGCGTCTCAGCGGGAAGGCCACCTGCGCCGTGTCCTCGAAGGCAATGGCCATGCTCTTGACCCAGGTGGCGCCCGTGCTGACCTTGGGGAGCCTCGGCGGGCTCGGGATGGTTACGTTGGCCCTCTTGAGCGCAGGACGTTGCGCTCTTCCGCTGTACTTGTGGTACTCGAACACTAGGCCCATAGCGTCGGCTATGTTCCACTCAGCTTGGTAATAAAGACTTGCCACTTCGCGTTGATGTTGGAGATGGCGCCCACGGCGGCGCGGGTGGCAATCCAGTGATTCTCGCGCCCCTCGGCGCAGCACGCCAATGGGGTAGGGGGCGGGAAGCGCGTCGGGCAGCCCATACTGCATGCGCCTCGCCACCGCAGCGCCGTCGATCGTCGGCTGAACGGGGTAGTGCGGCGCCACGTTCCAGCCGTGAAGCACCTTCGCATAGGCCGCGCCGAAGTCGGCGCCGACCAACCAGTAGTCGATGATGCGCTCTCCTGGGCGGCGCGCGCCCTCGTCGGGGGCGATGACCTTCAGCTTGAGCGCCTCCGCGAATCCCGACTGCGCGAGCTCGCGCGGCCCCATGTTGAAGTCGCCTCCAATGATGGCCGGCTGCCCCAACATTTTGGCCATGCTGTAGATGGCCTTCAGCACCTGGGAGCGAAACTCAGACATGCCCTCGTTGACCCCGAGGCACACGTTGACCCGCGCGATCCCGCCGGGGACCACGCCTGCGATGTGGGCGATGGAAGCGCGCCCAGGGAAGAGCGCGCAGTCGCCCTCCGGCTCGAACACCCCGAGCCCATGCACACGCGGAGCAAGCTGAAGCAGCCCTCCGTGTCCTTGCTGGCGCTGCTGAACGCCAACAGCTGGTGATGCGAGGGCATGCCAGCCGTCGCGCTTGAGCTTGTCGGAGACCTCCTTGCACCTCTCGTCGCTGAGATGCGTCTCCTGCACGCCGATGAAGTCCATGTTGAGGATGCCGTTCGTCTGGAGAAGGACCTCGAACCTGCTGCAGGCGTTGGCGCGGATGGCCGCGGCGTTCCACCAGCGCCGCCTGCGGTCCTTAGCCAGGAGACTGCCCGTGCTTGGGCTTCTTGATGGCGCGGGGGGTCTCCAAAGCGTCAGTAGCACGCTCGCGCCCGGCGTCGTCCGTGCAAGCCCCCAGCAGACCGCCAGCATCAGCCTGAGCCATAAAAGGTGTCGAAGGCCTCCTCGGGCGGTGCATCTGCAGCGGCTCCGTCTCCTGGGGCTCCTCCTCCTCCAGGATTGGCGGCGGGCGCTGGTGGTGCGTCGCCTGCTGCTGGCTGCCCTGCGGGCTTGCTCGTCTCCTCGAGGTTGCCAGCGACCGCGCGCAGGGCCTGCGCGACCGCGCCAGGGGACTAACCGTCGACATCCAGCGCGCCGATGACGTCGCGCAGCTTCTTGCCATCGATGCCCTGGTCCTGCTGCTTGGCGCCGTAGAGCTCGACAGCCTCCGGCTTCGCGTTCGCCGGGCCTTCCTCAAGCATAGCCATGTCAGCCTCCTGCTCCGCGATGGTTGCCAGAAGCTCGAGCGCCTTCTGCTTGTTCGAGGCCAGCTTGTCTTTCGCCGTCTGCAGCGCCCTGGCAGCCTAGTCCATAGCCCGAGGTGCTTCGCGCCCTGCAGCCCCCGAGAACACCAGCAGCAGCAGCGCGCCGAGCGCTGTCAACTTTCTGGCAAGAGGAGTTAGAGAGCGCCCCCTTGGCCTTCTCGTATGTGTCTGCGGGGAGCTCCTCCCGCGTCTGGATCTGACGCGCCAGCAGATCCTTGCTGCTGCGGCTGACCTCCTCCAGGCTTGGGCCAGTTATTCCAGGCTCGCTGCCGCGGCTCCTTGGCCCAACTGTCGGCTCCTTTCGGCCCGCCGACGCGCCAGGGCTGACGAGCAGCTCGCGGCTCTCCACATCCACCACATTGCTCGCGTCCCTTGGTAGTATACTCGCCACATCCGCACCTCCAGTACGTCGCCATGGCCGACACAATAGCAGTGGGAGAGCGAGGACACAGAGAGCGAGTAGGCCAGACTTGCATCTAGCGACAGAAGTCGGGGCTAGCCGCGGACCAGCGGTATCCGCTTCCTTCCCAGGGGAAGGCATCGCCTTGAGCCAAAATGGCTACGGATTTGTTGTGTTGTGTTGTGGTGTTGTGGTGTTGTGGTGTTGTGGTGTCGTGGTGTTGTGGTGTTGTGATGTGGTGGTGTTGTGGTGTTGTGGTGCTGTGGTGCTGTGTTGTGGTGTTGTGGTGTTGTGGTGCTGTGGTGCTGTGGTGTTGTGGTGCTGTGGTGTTGTGGTGCTGTGGTGGTGTGGTGTTGTGGGGGTGTGGTGGTGTGGTGGTGTTGTGTTGTGGTGTTGTGGTGGTGTGGTGTTGTGGTGCTGTGTTCTGCTGTTGTGGTATTGTGGTGCTGTGGGGTTGTGGTGTCGTGGCGGTGTGGTGCTGTGGTGCTGTGGGCTGTGGGGGTTTGGTGGTGTGATGTTGTGGTGTTGTGTTGTGATGTGCTGTGTTGTGTTGTGTGGTGGTGTGTTGTGTTGTGAAGTGGTGTGTGGTGGTGTGTTTTGTGGTGGTGTGGTAGTGTGGTGGTGTGGTTGTGCTGTGGTGGTGTGATGCTGTGGTGTTGTGGTGTTGTGGAGGTGGGCTGTGGTGTCGTGGTGTTTTGGTGTTGTGATGCTGTGGTGTTATGGTGTTGTGCTGTTGTGGTGTCGTGATGTTTTGGTGTGGTGGTGTGGTGGCGTAGTGTTGTGGTGTTGTGGTGCTGTGGTGTTGTGGTGTTGTGGTGTGGTGCTGTGGTGAGGTGTTGTGGTGGTGTGGTGTTGTGGTGTTGTGGTGTCTGTGTGTTGTGATGCTATGGTGTTGTGTTGTTGTGGTGCTGTTGTGCTGTGGTGGTGCGGTGTTGTGGTGCTGTGGCGCTGTGGTGCTGTGGTGGTGTGGTGCTGTGGGGGTGTGGTGGTGTGGTGGTGTTGTGTTGTGGTGTTGTGGTGGTGTGGTGTTGTGGTGCTGTGCTGTTCTGCTGTTGAGGTGATGTGGTGTTGTCGTATTGTGGTGCAGTGGTGCTGTGGTGTTGTGGTGCTGTGGGGGTGTGGTGGTGTGGTGTGGTGGTGTTGTGCTGTTGTGGTGGTGTTGTGGAGCTGTGGTGGTGTGGTGGTGTGGTGGTGTGGTGCAGTGGTGGTGTGGTGGTGTGGTGGTATGGGGTTGTTGTGTTGAAGTGCTGGGGTGTTGTGGTGGTGTGGTGGTGTGGTCTTGTGGTGTAGTGTTGTGGTGTTGTGTTGCGTTTGTGGTGCTGTGGTGCTGTGGTGGTGTGGTGCTGGCGTGGTGGTGTGGTGTTGTGGTGTTGTAGTGTTGTGGTGTTGTGGTGCTGTGGTGCTGTGTTGTTGTGGTGTCGTGGTGTTGTGGTGATGTGGTGTTGTGTTGTGGTGGTGTGGTGTTGTGGTGTTGTACTGGTGTGGTGGTGTGGTGGTGTTGTGTGGTTGTGTGGTGTTGTGGTGGTGCGGTGGTGTGGTGGTGCGGTGGTGTGATGTTGTGGTGCTGTGGTGTTGTGATGTTGTGGTGTTGTGGTGTTGTTATGTTGTGGTGTTGTGATGTTGTGGTGCTGTGGTGTTGTGGTGTTGTGGTATTGTGGTATTGTGGTGCTGTGGTGGTGTGGTGCTGTGGGGGTGTAGCGTTGTGGTGTTGTGTTGTGGTGTTTTTGTAGTGCTGTGGTGCTGTGGTGGTGTGGTGGTGTGGTGCTGTGGAGGTGTGGTGCTGTCGTGCTGTGGTGGTGTGGTGTTGTGGTGGTGTGGCGTCGTGGTGTTTTGGTGTTGTGATGCTGTGGTGTTGTGGTGGTGTAGTGTGGCGGTGTTGTGGTGTTGTGTTGTTGTGGTGTGACGTGGTGGTGTGGTGGTGTGGTGGTGTGGTGGTGTGGTGGCGTAGTGTTGTGGTGTTGTAGTGTTGTGGTCTTGTGGTTTTGTGGTGCTGTGGTGCTGTGTTGTTGTGGTGTTGTGGTGCTGTGGTGCTGTGGTGTTGTGGTGCTGTGATGGTGTGGTGTTGTGGTATTGTTTTGTGCTGTTGTGGTGTTGTGGTGTGGTGGTGGTGTAGTGTGGTGGTAAGGTGGTGTGGTGGTGTGGTGGTGTGTATTTGTGTATTTGTATGTATTTGTGTGCGGTTGTGTGTGTGCGAGTGTCTGCACGCGTCAGCCGCTTCCTCCGGCCTGACTGACCGCACCAACTTCTCACTGCATCGGATCCACCCAGCCAGGAAGCCGAAAGTGTGTGCGCGCGGACGGTTGGCGCTCACTGGCAGTAAAGTAGAGCAATTGCTCCGCCCTCGATATGCCGAGGGACCGGCGAGCTGCACTGGTAGCGAGGCGTGGATTTGTCCATATCCACTGCCTGGGAAACGACGTCCTGGGGCCCCAACGTGCAGTGGATTCGGAAACATCCATGTCCACCGCCTGTGGAGGTCCGCGAAGATCCATCCCCCAGGCGGTGGTTATCCGTCGGTCGGAAGAAGTGGGTGGAAACATGGAGTAGGAAGGCTTTGGAAGCGTATTGAATCTGCGCACCCCCCGAAGAGTAGGGGAAGGAGCGTAGGAAAGAGGGAGAAGTAGGGAAGTATGGATCTGGGATTGCAGAATTACCTGCCTTCAACGACCAACGGGTATGGATAAATCCTTGCCTCGCACTGGCCGACGCCTGTGCACAGAGGACGTATCATCCTAATCAAAAGAGCAATCCGCACGGTTCTCTCGTCTGGATGTCTACGCATCACGCGAGCACCAAATCTTATCAGTACACCTGGTAGCTGAACTTTAGTCTGTCAAGGGCCCCCGTCGACTGCGCATGGAGTTGTGATTTGTTTCATTCGCGCATGTGCGTGAGATTTGCCTGCACCTGCATGGGAAACGTCATGCGTATGCAGTGTACGGATAAGACTGCCACACACAAGATTCGTGGAACAGTTTGGCATGCCATCCCTCCACAGTATGCTGACAGCATGCCCATCCCGCCCGCAAGCACATGTTGATATGTATGCGTGTGGGGGGACCAGCGGGTCTTCCAGAGAAAAGTGTCGCCGCAGAGGCGAAACGCCTGAATGCTCCGACGCGAGCTATAACGGCTGCAGCCTCCTGGGAAACATACTATAGCGTCGACGTCAGTGGAGATTGGGGGGCGGCAGGCGGGGGGGAAGACGAGGGAGGGAGAACGAACGGATGAAACAAAGGAAGGAAGGACAACATCCCGCGTTTGTCCCTTGCGGGGGACTCCCTCGCCTGGGCTGCCCCATCACAGGGGCCAGACTACATAGATTGCCGAAAAGGAGCCTTCGGCTATGAAGCTTCGCATGGGATCGCTGCGATTCGCGGTGGGCCTGAATCCGCTAGAATTTCGAAAGACGTCAATGTCCGGACGCTTCGCCTCGTAGCCGTGCTGGCCAGCACTGCACTCCGAGAAGAGCCCTCAGCGCTCAGGCAACACGACAAGGATGGGAAGCGTCAAGCCATCATGAAGAAAGTTTCGAGCGATAGCGCGATTCCCAAGTAAATCGTGAGGAAACCCGGAGCGAGGACGTGATTTCTGCGTCTTTCGGGGCACGGCACCACAGAAAATTGCGAGTGAGTGCCACGGGAGAGCGCGATTCCTGCATACCCACAAGTGCGGATCAGAGTGACGGGGCAAGCGCAGGGTGAGTCGCGGGCGGGTCGCGGGCGGGTCGCGAGTGGGTCGCGGGGTGGGTCGCGGGTGGGTCGCGGGTGGGTCCCAGGTGGGTCGCATGTGGGTTGCGGGCGCGTCGCGGGTGGGTCGCTGAATGGGTGACGACTGGGACCTCGACATCAACAAACAACAACCCGCACCGCGGAACCCCACCTCAGCCACGCACCCAGGGACAATGAATGACCGTTCGGCCCCATCACCATGATCAGGCGGGAGCCGTTGTTGCTGTTGTGGTTCGGGGGCCAGGGGCGCATTTTGAGGAACAGTACTTTCCGGGATAAAATAACAGGGTGCGAGCCACTGGACGAACACCATAATCCCACCAGCCCTCTGGGCCTAGGTGGCTTAACGAACTCGTGTTGTCTCTTCTAGAGTCCCTCCTTCCCCTGCTCATGGCCTACCAACAGCCGAAGTAGGACGTGCACCGACACGGTTGGTTGCCATCGTAATGCCGACACTATATACACATATGCGCACAGGGGAACGGCGGAAAATGCAATCACGGTAGAAGGGAACGTATGGCCCTAGCGGGCATAACCTCCGGCCAGCTATGTTTCAAAACAAATGCCAACAATACGTACCCAACTCGAGTGGCAGCTGCTCTGGCCAGGTCCATTTCAGATTCTCTACAGAGTATTTCCGACGACAGCCTGTCTATGGTGTGTGACCCAGGGGAGATATCTCAGGGCCTCAAAGACATGCACGCCAGGACCCTGACGTGGAGTTCGTGCAGGAGCGGAGCACCCAGCACGAAACAAGCAGCTCATCCCTGATGTTCATTAGGAGCCAAAATGCGCCCGCGACCACGCGAAACTCGCCGATCCGGCGCGTCTTCGAGCGCCGCCACCGCGGCCTTTGGAGAGGACGCCTCTGGAGCGGTGCCTAGCACGCCGCTCAGGCGGCGGCCCCAGAGGCCCCAAGAGAGCCGCAAGAGGCAAACAAAAGGCCTCCTCCTCCTCCTCCTCCTCCTCCTCTTCGTCCGCCTACTCGTCCTCCTTATCTCTATCTCTTCACTTTCTCACTCTCTCTCTCCCTCCCTCTCTCTCTCTCGGGCATAATCAACTGCCCAGTGACTGCTTCTCTCTATACAAATATGTACATTTGTATGTATGTTTGTGTGTGTATATATATATATATGTATATATATATATATGTATCGCCTCCCTCTTCTTCCCCTCCCTTGCTTTCTCCCCAGCTTGTTCCTCAAAGCGTCTCCACAACGGCCGGAACTACACACAGCCCAATAGCGTGGCCAAATGTTGGCCCAACTTTTGGCCATGCAAACATGTGCTCAAGGGAGGGGGCGGCGATGATTCGCCGGAGGCATCATATTCGCCAGAGGGGGGAAAAAGAGGCTAGACATAAGGGAGAGGCAACCAGATGGGGCCTCACCCGAACGCTCTCTCAGAGCGTCCCTCTGGATGCCCTGCTGCAGGGCCCACCTAAGTCCTCCGCCACTGTGCCGCAGGCACTGAGTAGGATTCCCTGCGTTGGGTATTGGAAACCCTTCGAGTGGCCAGGGATCTTGGTGAATGGCCTAATTTCCGGGGAACCTCTGCGCGGGTCGATCTGGCCTCCAGAGGGCAGGGAGACCCAAGACGGCCCAAGAGTGTTCCCAACAACGCTACAAGACGACCCAGGAAGGCCTAAAGACGGCCTAATAGGCCCCCAAGTTGCCCCAAGAGGGCTCCAAGATGAACCCCAAGGGGGCTCCGATAAGCCAGAATCATTCATTCTCGACACAAGATTACCCACAGACTATCCAAGAGGCTCCCTAGACGGCCCCATGGAGCTCCAAAACGCCCCAAGAGCCCTCCAAGACAGCCCCAGAGGCCCACGGAAGGGCCCGAAGAGAAGGCTGAGAGGAGGAAAGCGAAAGGGCCTTGGGAAGGCTCCAAAACGCCTGAGAGGGCCCCGAGGACCCTTTCGGTCCCCGAGAGGCGTCCCAAGAGACCAAGGGATGCATCCCACACGCCTCTGACCCACGACCCACGCATGGTGGTGGGATTGGCCGAAGGCCTCAAGATGAAGACAGAGAGAGAGAGAGAAAAAGAAAGAGAGAGAGAGAGAGAGAGAGAGAGCGAGAGATGCTGCACGCCGTGACCGCGAGAGATGGTGCACGCCATGGCCCCAAAAGTTCGCACTCGTGCGAGGACGCACTTCAAAGAACAGCACGGTATCCCAGTGGAGTACGAGACCATGACGGTCGAGATGGCTACATACGCCATGACAGCAAGATGAGATATTGCTCCATCGAGAGATGGAATAATGGCGTAGCTCTGGGCCCGTCTGGGCTGGAGAGGGCCCATTGGCCCATGCCACTGAAGAGGGCGCCAGCGCCGATGGGGGAAGTCCGCGCGGACCTCCGACACGACGCAACAGGGCGGCAAGCCGCAAAGATGGGAAATGATTGACCGAACAATGGGTATGGTGGGGCATCACTCGCCCGCGCTGCCAAGGGAGATGCGCGAATGAAGCGCCTTGGGCGGAGCCCACCCACGGGGCCGAAGCTGATAAAAAGGGCCCGTAGATTCTAAAATGTATGTGCAACAGGCAGGCCGCCTGCTGAGGGCGCTCGCCGAGACATGCATCTCTCAAGGCGAGCCCCCGCGCGGGGAGTGCACCCAACGACGCCGCTGGCGCTGGCCACCGGGCCCCCCTGCGGCCAGCTCGCGACGAGAGCGCGGCGCGCGGGGCTTTGAAACGGAGTGAAGGCGCCGCTAGATTGACCTCTGCCGTGATCCCACCACCTCCCCTGCTGAAATGGTCAACCCTCGGAGTCCCCAGTCCCATGTGGCGACCGACCGCGCGGTGGCCTCGGCATCCCAAGGGACCTCGCCGCGGCCCGCCACTGCACGGAGGAGGAGGAGGAGGAGGAAGAGGAGGAGGAGGAGAAGGAGGACCCTGGGGGCCCTCATCGCCTGAGACGTCCTCGGAGAACGACCCGGGTCCCAGAGCCATGCAGGGACTCCAAATCCCCACCGACTCACCACACGGTGTGGTCACCACAGCGCTTGGGGACCCCGATTCCCCGCCCTGCCCCCCGTCGCCAGCGTCGATGAGTTCCAGGCAGCCCCCCTGGCGGCGCCCCTGGCGTCGGCAGAGAAAAGGGGCCAGTGCCGACCCAAGAAATCTGCGTGGACTGCCGAGAGCTCATGCATGTGCCGATGCTTGGTGCTCGACTCCCGCACATCGCAGAACGGCGTCCACGGGCGCACCCGCTCCCCGTCTGCAAGCGAGACGAGACTGAGGCAACCCATAGACACCGACAACGCACTCGCGGGGTCTCCGCGGGGGGAAGTGAGAAGAAAGAGGCCTTCTCTCAGAAGGCTCGGAAGTCCCCGGGCCTTCTGAAAGGCTGTCCGAGCTTTCCCCGAAGCCACCACAAAACTTCTCAGAAGGCCCGAGGCCGTCTGAGAAGCCGCCGCCGCCTTCTGAGAAGGCCCTCCCCCCTTTTCGCTCCCCCCCCCTCGCTCGCCGCCGAGCGCGGGCGGAGGCGCGGCTGGCATCGAGGCTACGGCGGGGTTGGAGGATCGTGCCGCACCGCCGCTGCATCGCTGATGCATCGCCGATGCGTCGGCGACGCATCGGAGACGCCAGCGCGGCAGGAGTCGGGCTCCACGCCGAGCCGCATCGCCGATGCGTCGGCGCTGCGGCGAGGGCCTCCGACCCCGTCCTCCTCGGCCGCCCGCGCCCGTGCTGGCGGGGCCCGCGGGCAGGGCCGCGCGGGGCTCAGGGGGCGGCGGCGCACAGGCCGTCGGCGATGAAGGCGCGGAACTCGGGGTTCCTCGCAGGGGGCCAGCAGCGGGCAAGCACGAGCTGGATCGGATCGAGGGCTCGAACCGGATTCGGAAACGGGTCGGATCGCCAGCGAAGCGGATCGAGAGCGGATCGCCGCGCCAGGCTTCGGCTGGCACCAGGCGATGCTGGCGAAACGGACAGAATCGAATCGAATCGGAATCGCGGCCCCAGCTGGCGAATCGAATCGCATCGCATCGAATCGTGGGCGGCCCTGGCAGGCCTGCCCCGAGAACGGGGCGTTGCAATTTTTCCCAGCCGTCCCGCCTGGGACCGTCACAGATCGAGGCAGCTCGAAAGATGCCGATGAAAGGTTCGGCACCTTCAGGCGCTGCGCTGCCGAACTCCGCCAGGCGTTGTTTGGTGGAGGAGCGGAAGCAGGCAAGGGATGGGAACTGGAGAGGGACAAGCGAACAACGAAAAGAAACGGATCTCTCGCACCATGACACAGCAACCTTACGTTTGGGTCGGGCGTGTCCCCTTACAGGGGGATGTTTGCCCTCCCCCCCAAAAAAACTAACAAAATATTCAGAAAATTATCAAACATAATACAAACATCGTCCCCCGACTATTTATTTTTGAATATTCCTCGTGTAGAGGGACACGCCCGACTTAACCTTACGCGGTGGCTTACGTACGCGGGCCGCCAGCGCGCTGCAGTGGACAGGAGGGCGCTTACACATGGCCTTGCGCCGGCAGCTTGCGCGCCGATGTCGGCGCAGTCGGTCCCAGTTTTGCTTCGTCGCACAAGTGCCTCCAACCCCCACCGAACGGCCACAGAAGGGCCCTGTGTCGTGAGAATGCGGATTCAGATGGATTCTCTCCCTTGTTCCATCTCAAGACCCATTATGTCTGCGTTTCTTGTGCTCTCTCTCTCTCTCTCTCTCTCCCTTTCCCCTCTCTCGCCTGATGCTGCTGGCTCGGCCCGAGCCGGTTTGAGGCAATCTGGCCACTGGAGCAGAGTCCGGGAGAAAGAGCGCCCTACCTCGATCCCTGCCGGGATCCGCCGCCGTCCCCGCTGCCACTGCGGGCCGGGAGGTAGGCCGCTGGAGGCTACCCGGTGCCACAGCGGTAGCGGAGCAGGCAAGCCTGCGTGCGCTGCAACTGCCTTGGATCTGCTTCGGCGGTCCCAACGTTTTACCAGAGACTCTTCCAGGGACCGCAAGTCGTCAGGAAAGCACATGGACATGTTCGACAGTCGGAGACCGAGTTCACCTGCACCACCGGCCAGGGCTCCACTCACATCGGCTACGCCGTTTGTGGGACCAGGAGGTACCTGGTCAACGTGCGAGCCGATCATAACGTGCCCTGGAGCCCGCATTGTGGGCTTCGGATGCGGTTGCGCCGCTCCAACCAGCATCTGCTCGCGCGCTTGCTTGTTGTAGTTAGCAAATTACCGCAGGTGTGTAGACCAGGCGCGCTTCCCACGCCAGGGTCAAAATCTAGCAGAGCCCGGGCGGGGCGAGCAGTTGATGAGTCGGTTGCTCTCTTCGGTGAGTTGTTTCAGGACAGTTGCGTGAACGACGAAGGACGTGTAGACGGAGGCTCGGATGCAGCCAGCATCGAGCGCTACGTCGTGGCGGCGGCCGGCCATGGGCAGTGGAGTCCTCAGCCCCGAGTCGCTGCCTCGGCGTGATGGACAAGGAGGTTCGCGAGAGTGGCGTGGGCGGTACTCGGCCACCTCGTGGACGATGTCGCCGCAGTGGACGAGCCGCGACCTGGAGGGCATCCCGACGTGGGACGGCTCGGCGGCGAGGTGGCGGCGCTACAAGAAGAACGTGGTGGATAGAAGGTATCAACCTGGACGTGAGTTGGAGCTGGGCGGCCCGGATGGTGCGGTGCCTGACGCTCCGAGAACGACGAGAAGCACGGCCCCTGGGAGGAGCCCGACGCCATGGCGGACATCAACAGGCTCATGGAGGTGCTGGCGACGATGGGCGTGGACGAGCCGACTCGCAGAGGCCAGGTGCATCGACTTACTTTTACAAGCAGCTGCATCGACGGGCCAGCGAGGATTTGAATGCGTGGATGATCAGGTTCGGAGAAGCTCGTGGCCAACTAGACGAGGAAGATGTGGCGTTGCCGGCTTGGCCTGCCGGCGCATCGAGAAGACGGGTTGGACGGACGCGCAGAAGAGAATGCTGATTACCTCGACCAGCGGCAACATGGAGATACGTGAGATGGTGTCGGCCATGCTGCGAGTGTTCCCCAACTTGCACATGACTGAACGGCGAAGCAAACCGTTCGAGCGACGAAGGCCGATCACTTTCAACAAACAGGGGACGACGCTACTGAAGAAGAAAATGATTCGGACATCCCCCCACCATCCCTGTGAAAAACCATACAGACCGCACTCTGCCTCCACATGTGGAGCATGCGCGGCCAACCCGATGCGTCCCCCCCTCAACATCCTGGTCATAAAACAATGCAAAATACACTTTGGAGCAAGGTATTGAATCATTCGAGGCCCGCGAGCACTTCGTATTGTTTTTGACGAGGACGGAGGGGGTGTCAGCATATTCCCTGCTGCGCGCAGGGCCACCATCCTTGACAACAAAACAATACAGCATGCATCTCGCGGCCAAGTCTGGATCATGCGCGGCCATCCCGCGATCACTGTCAAGTGTTTTTTTGACATGGTCGGCGGGGCTGGTGGCGCGTGGCCTGCTGTGCGCAGGCCCAGCAGACACAATGATGGGCATCGGTTTTCGACAAGGACGGCGGGGGCCGACATGTTTCCCGATGTGTGCTGTCATGTGCGCAGGCGTACCTGACGCATTATGCACGTGCCCCGAACGCGGCACACCCGGCGCGGCTGGACTGTGCGGCGCACCTGGTGCAGTCGGAGCACGTGGCGCATTTGGCGCACCAGGCGTGCCTGGCACGCTAGGGCCCCAGGGGTGCCTGGCGCGCGTGGCGCCCCTCGCACGCGTGGCGCACCTCGCCCAAAACGTCGCGCACCTGGGATCGACCTTGGTTCCCAGTAGCTGTCCATCCAAAGACGACCGCTGAACATGCTCAGACTCGGGTGTTAGTTTTGTGTAGGGACGGCGGGTGAGAGTGAACTGGACGGCTTGCGGGTGAGTGGGTGCCTTGACCCCTCCCCTTACTCCCTCCCCTGGACCTGGACGGGGCCCGTCGCGGGCCGTTACAACGCCCAGAACGGCCTCGGCGAGGAAAACGAAATCATTGGTGTTACTAACGTTTTGGCCCCATTTGGGCCTCCTGGGGGAGGGGGGGGGGCAGGGCGAAGAGGAGCTCCCCCCTTTCTTGATCGATGTCCTCCAATATGGCCCCAGCCCACAAGGCCCCGACAGGCCCCATGATGGTCCCAACATAGCCCCAAGGGGCACCCAAGAGGCCCCCAGGAGGTTCCCAAGAGGACCCCCAAGCGCCCCCCCCCCCCCCCCCCGAAGCACCCAAGACGCCCAAGAGCCACCCAAAACCGCCGAGAGACCCCCAAGGCGCCCCAAAAGACCACCAAGAAACACCCAAGAGATATCCCAAGAGGCTCCGAGAGGCATCCAAGAGACCTCTAGCACTTTTTGCTTACCCTCCTCCACCTGCTCATATTTCCCCTTCCTGCTCGTTATGTTATTCCTCCTCCTTCTCCTCATTATCATCATCATCAGCAGCATCATACGCAGCCGCATAAGCATAATCGCCATCATCATCAGCATCATCACCAGCATCCTCATCATCAACATTATCAGCATATTCATCCACTCAGCCTCCTGCCCCCCGCTCCCTCATCCATCCATCCAGCCTCCTCCTTCTCCTCCTCCCTCCTTCGCACAGTTCGACCGCCCCCCTCTTTGCTCCCACATGTCCCTGATCACCTCAACTCGCCTGGACATCGTTCCTGGATGGGCTGGCGGGGATATTTTGTTTTGTTCGCGAGCGCGCAGGGGCGCCAGGCGCCGTCAAGAAACGCGGCTAACAAGCAACGGCCTAAATTCCGCGGCACGAGGACGGAACGAAAGCAAGCGGAACACGAGGCGACGCGGGGAAGAAGCGAAGAAAAAGCACAGGAGCGAGCTACGCTGCGGCTCAGGAGACGCGGTGGACCAGGAAGAACCACAGGCCGAGGTGCAGCACCAAAATGCGAAATTCATGAAGTCCGCGTACTCGAGGACGGCCGCGACGCAACCGATGAGGGCGTCGAACAACGACATGCAGGCGCTCAACGGAGTAAGTTCCGGATCGCCAAACGCCGACAAGGGTCGGAGCGAGGGGCGTGGAAGCGACGGCAGCGCCACCACGGGCGGGGGGACAGGGGGAAGGCAGCGACAGGGCGGCGCATAGGCAGCAGATGTGGAGATACTTTTTTTCGCGAGCGACACAGAGCAACTGCGCGCCGTCAAGAAACGAAGCAACAACGCAAAGATCTAACAGATGTGGGGATACGCGAAGCGCTTAAAATTCAAGGAGGCCAACGTGACCAAGGATCTCGACGGACTGGGCCAGCTCGACTACTCGGAGCTCGAAGTGCTGAACGCGGAGCTCGGCAGCTTCAACGGCGACGCCGACGACGAGACGGTCGAGGAGGCTTCGACGACGGAGCAGGATCAGGACATCGAGAGCATCTTCGCCGAGAAGCTGGAGTCACTCTCGACGGTGCTCGAGGAGGCGGAGCACGACCCCGAGCTGGTCCAGGAGCTCGGGAACCTGGAGAGCGGCGTGGAGTCGATGATGGAGGGCCTCATCACGGTGCGCGAGACCAAGAAGCGGGTGAAAGAGGTGCGTAAAGAACGTAAGTTTGGCAAGGGCGGCGGCACAGGCTCAGGATCGAACAGTTCCAACAGCGGCAAGAAGTACACGACCGGGTTCGGCCAGACCAGCAGCACGCCAGACAAGAAGAACTCGGAGTACCACGCCTGTGGTCAGACAGGCCACTGTGCGGGAGACGCCGGCTGCCCGAAGTTGAAAGAGTGGTGGAAGGCAAAGCAGGCCAAGAAGAAGCTGCAGCAGAGAGTCAAGCCGCGAGAC